TTAATTCAACTTATGTTATATACTGCAATAGTAAAGGTATTCAATTGATTTCACTCGATATTTATTTTTGATAGCAACCCTAACGAAATCCGCGAGATTGATAAATGTCGATGAGATTAAGAACTCTTTCCGTTGTTCTGACACCAAAGTAAGTACCCTTCAATTATTTCGTAACAGAAAAAATATCTCTACTACTTATAATAATAATCTATACTAATATATAAACCTGAACAGTTTGTTTGTATGAACGCGCTAATCTTGGGCACTACTCGTGGGAATCGAGTTTTTGTGTTGGTTAGAGTTAGTTAGTTTAAATAAAACACTTTAACGGTTTAAAACGCGATATATTAGTTAAACTTTATTTATTAGTTTAACTAATATATCGCGTTTTAAACCATTAAAGTATTTTATTTAAATGTGTACTACTCGCGTAAACTATAGACAGTATTTAGTTAGTAAGTTATCAAGGATAACTTAAGTCTATAAAACATCACGATGGGACCAATACGGAAAACGGAGAAAATGATTTATCTTTGTGTTTCCTTTTGCTCTCGCTGCGAAAGAATGATTCCTCCTAAAATAATAAAAAAATATCTGCGACTTTATATATCTATCTCTTAAGATTAACTTGCAAGAACGACAGTAAGCAACGGGCGTCGTTGAAATTTATAAGAGAAGGTTTGTAAAAACATTTTGATGCTCAATATTCTATCCTACGCGGAATTATTTGTCCTGGTAGGTTTCCGTTGGGTACGAACGATTCAAGTAACCAAAAAATATGAATGCAAGAATGATTCTTCTTCATATCTTTTAAAAGAAGGTTCGCGATAATATAGATTAACTTGCAAGAACGACGCGATGACAACAGCACTACACAGTATAAAATAAAGTCGCCTTTTCTGACCCTATGTGCGCTTTAATCTATAAAACTACGCAACAGATTTTTGTGTCGGTTTTTTTTAATAGATAAGAGTGATTCAAGAGGTTTTTATACAAAGGTTTTTGTAGTGTATTTAGTATGAGTATTGCACGCGAGTGAAGGCGGGGCGGGTCGCTAGTTACATATACCGTAAATCAACTTTTGGCAGGCGCGGATGTTGAAAAACGATGAAAATAAGCAATACTTTCGGACGACAATTTTTCGCGACGAACCTGCCCCGTGGGAATGCAAGACGGCTTAAATTCAGACTTTGATTTATGGCCGAGGCTTTAATGCGGAATGAATTGCTGAAATACCTCATCATTAAATATCATTATCAATGCAATTAGCAGAATAGGATCAAAGCCGTTAAGTAATTAACGCAACGCGTTCGTCGTTCTCTGGACTAGGAAAGTAGTATTCTTTGCATTAATAAAATTCCCACATATTAAACTTGTAATTAAAAAGGGCCTTGGCTACCGCAACATTGACGTGTATTGCACATGATTGCATTATATTCATTAAAAATCAATAATTATATAAATTAAAAAAGAGCTACCGGCACTCTCGGTACATTCGACCCGGTAGCTCAATTGCTTAGAGCAGAAATACGGTACCACGTGGCTGCCCGTTCAATTCAAGCCCGTGTCGTCAATACAATTTTTCTATGTAAAAAGATTTTTAATTTTAACAACAACTTAGGTTTAAATCATATGAAATATATTAGTTTCTAAAAAATGAAGTGAGCTTAAGAAAAAGTAAATCAATACAAAATGTTAACACATAGAAAAGCCAACTGTGTACCTACCTATAAAACAAGACAAGCTTCGCAGAGCCTTGAGCTGTCAAATGTAAGGTTCTATTAAAACGGACTAGGTCCATAGCCATAAGAGTATTAGACAAGTCTTTAATTCGCTGCTTTTTATGATATATTTAGTTTTTATTTTATATTAACGGGTGGAACCAAACTTATGTTAAACATAATTTAAGAAATAAATTTATAAATAGCCGTTGATAATATTTATGATAGTGGAAGACAGAAAAGTTTGGGGTTTACTAGATGGGAAGTCAAATATCTCAGCCATGTAACAATTTGACAAGACTACACACTTTGCCCTTATATACCGAAGACCGACATCTTCCAGGAAGATTACAAATTGATTGATAGAGATCGAAAGACAACTCGAGGTATTATTGTACCATCTTATATTACATAATTAATGTTTAATAACATAATTAATATACAATAAATGTGACGTTAGGACTGGGTAAAACCTTTTTTGTCACGAAGGCAACAGATTCGGCGACACTTTTGGCACCTGGTCAGACAAGTTGACCATTCCATCTACGGACGCAAACCATAAATAACGTTTGCCATGATAAATCGTATGATTGTTTTACTTCGAACATTTCTGAAACTTCTTGACATTCTTTGTGTGAGGGTAGGTTGACATTTTATATGCCAAAATAACGTAAAATTATCCATTTTACCAAACCTTGATCTTGTTTTTATGCTAACAAAGTTTTATTTTTTTGATTGACTACAAATTGTCACTTAGCATTCAAAAATGTTATAGATGTAATTATCTCATTAGAAAATGACTACAGGAACTATTTGTTTGTGCGGTATGCCCTCATTTTCATATCTAAGTTTTTGTTAGGACACAGCCAATCGCAAACAACAAAAAACATAAGTAATGATACATCGTAACAAAATGATGTTCTATAAAATATGATCGAACTTTTTGTAAGATCATTTGCATTAGGGACTACACACGTTTATCTGTTACTAAGAAGATCGCTATAATACGAATAATACCAAAAGAAACGTTTTATGATAGTTACAATTGAACTACATAATAAACTAAGATATTCATCTATTTACTTATATTTTTTAATTATAGTATCACAAATTGTAATTTTGTCATTGCAGTTGTATTGTTCACAGGAGCTTTTTAAGTATACACTTAGACAAGTCTTGTTGTTGCATGTTGTTGTTAACGCTAAGGATATATGAAGCTCTTACAATTTTCATTATTTCTTTTATTAGTATCATAGAACTATAATTGATAATTGATTCGTTATTCTCCGATAAAACAATATGAATATTTTGGACACGTAACTTAAACGTAAGATGCGAATAGATGTGTGTAGCCCCCTCGTCTATTTCCACGGGTGAGGTCACCGGCTTATCTCAAAATCCGTTCTAATAACCTCGTGTAAATTATCAGAGCCATATGAATGGATAGTTTTGGCAGCGACACAATTGTGCCCAGTGCCGGGGTGAACGGCCGTAGATAACTCGATCTTACGGCCCCAATATGCAAAGGCCGCTATGAATTCTGGAGCATAATTTTCTTTTTGATACGCGAAACGTTTCTTAATGGACGGTACAATCGCGGCCGAATGTGCTTAACTTTGCTGCTATTATAGCAGAAGTGGATAGAAAAGCTTCAACACACATTTGGTGGGTTATACATCGTTTGGTACAACATAGAAACGACTAAAATGATTAAATGAAAACAATTGATAATCTACATGTAAAGCTTATTTTTATCATTTGTAATCTTTATTTTCCAAAATCTCGGAAAATTTTAGTACTTCGTCATAAAACGTCAAAAGATTGCCTTGTTTTTGTAAATTATTTAACTCCGATTCGTTTCGCATAAGAATTGCTTCATTATACGGTACAGTCATTCGATTATTTTTTCGCTTAATCGATATGATTGTTTATTTTTAATGTTCATCAAAAAAAAAAATATTTCTAAAAATATTGCGATTATTACTGCTTAGTTTCATTTGTTTATAGTGGGTTTCGAAGTGAATTATCCGCATTAAAGGTGTAATTATTAAGTTGTTATACTATTTCTGGACTATACTACTACTATACTACTATAACTACATTTATATTTATATTTTTAACAACAACAAACAATTATTCAAATAAAAAATAAAATATCGAAACCACTTGTCCTTGCGAGTGTACCGTTAAAATTAGTATGAAATTCGTTTTTCTTGATAGGTATTTGCAATAAAGTTCCAAATTTTACGTTGTTTTAGTGTTACTCATTTATTTGAACCGAATTTTATTTGGGTAGATAATGGCATTCTTGATACAAGTTTTATTTCGTTACAGATAAGCGATTTTATTTTAACTTATAAATCGTTTCGGAACAGCGAATTACAATAAAACATGTTACATAAAATAAATAAGGAAACTTTTTAATTACAAGCTATTTTCATATCATGAAATGAAGAAATATTAAATTAATGAACGCAAAGTAGGTAGACTTCAGTAAAGACACAAAAGTTTTAGCCTATGGCGTCATGCCATTACAAAATGCTACATTCGGTTCCCACGCAATTTTTTGTTTATCTTCAAGCTTAAATTCCTACTTAATAGATTTTGACGAAACATTCTTTGAACTAGAGGTTGTATATATGTCCTATTAAATCTAAGAAAACCCATTTTTGGGTGGATATATTAAAATGGCTAAAATAACAAATTACTAAATGAAGCAAAGAATGGACCCGTGTAGTACTTAGTGATTAATTAGGGGTAAGCCCGACAAGTCGTGAGTTCGATTTCTACTCGATCTAGCTCTTGGTGAATCAATTCATATATCTATGCTAAACACGTTTCAAGTATCGTTCGGAAGGACATTAATTAAGTCTCGTTGGGTCACGAACGAAGTTTAAAGCGTTTTCATTTCAGTCTATGTATAGATGTGATAAGCAACTTTTAATTAAAACACTTAACGGTTTAAAACGTGAAAAATATTAGTAACCTATTGTTTAATTTATTTTAACCCGACCCCCGGCCCGACGTTTCGGATGCTTTGCAGCAGCCGTGGTTACAACGGACTGTGGCCCGATGCGACGTTGCGCGACGTTACGTTTACGGCTGGGTAAATAAAATTAAAAAAAATACGTCAAAAGGAAGGTCTACGTCTTCACAATAATTTATCAAAAACAATCAAGCCGTTTTTACATACAAAAACACACATTCACCCTTACTCACTTATCAACGTAATAGGCATTAATTTAGAATATTACCGTGTTTCAATCCGTACCACGTTTTATGGAACGGTTGGTACCTCCTCGTGGTGAGGTACGGTCGCGGCCGTCTCTGTGGGCTGCAGGAGGCCGCACAGCAGAGCAAATAGAACCTTTTATCGCGGACCTTTTCAGCCGCCTTCAGTCGTTCTTTAGCGAGACGGCCGGCGCAGCGGCGCGGGCCGGCGGTCTCTACGACCACCGCTACAGCCGCGAAAATGAAAAACCACCGCATCATGAGCACATCACTATCCACTACATCACTATTTGACGCAAATAGTCATTTTTCGCATATAAATTGTGCATTTTCTATGTAAAGTTAAAATTGTCTATTTTTATTTAATCCTGTTTCGCTTTCATTGTCAAACAAGTGTTCTTAAAATTATACAAGTGGTTTTACGTATCTAAACACGAGAATTGGGAAACACAAACGTGCATCCACTCGTCGCACGCGGCGATGACTGCTCGAAATCTCTGCTCGTACTCTCGAAGCCTGAATGGCGAGGTTTAAAGGTACCCGTACACATAGCAGGGAATGTATGTATGTACGTATATATATATATATTATGTATGTAGTGAGTTACGGGCATTAGCAGACCCCGGATGTAGTGAGTCAATATAAATGGTATGGAATCTTTCCTTTATGATGGATGAAGGAAAAAAAGCACGAGTTGACACAAGTTGATGCAAGGTAACACAACTATATTTCTAAACGTATGTATAATTTAGACATTTGGAAATCAGGACACTGTAACCGAAATGCTTTTTATCTTCACGGCTTTCATGTATGGTGGTTTGTGATCCGCAATAGATATACTACCCAAATCACATCCAGATTTAGCAGCTAAATCGAACACGTGTCGAACATGTGAAGTATGGAACAAATAATTTGTTTTTTACTATCCAAATATTGCTACTATTGACCCAACGCTAAAGGATATATGACAGTGACTTCTTTTCATACCTTGTGTGCGGTAAGGCTTAAATTTTAACCAATTGACGATTTTATTAAGTGTCGAACTCGTTATCGTAACAGTCTTACAGTTATCGTAATTGGAGCGATGATTTCGCGAGTGCCATTGATAAGTGCAACGGGATTGCAACTTGCTATTTGGGGTTGGGACACTTTGTACCAGACATTTGCGTATAATAAAATACACCGTAATTTTGAAAATAGACAATTATAGGGCCATAAGTGTTAAAACTTCGTATCCAGCATATATGAAAGAATATTAAAAAAAATGGAAATCAGAGGTTTTTGAATTAAAAAACCATAAAAAAAACAATATAAAAAAAAAATACCAAAAATTTAATCGAAACTCAGGTTGTAGTCAAAATAAGTTTGACAAATATATTTTGCGTTTTAAATCGTTTAAGTTTTTTTATTTAAATGTACTAAACTGCGTTAACTACAGACGGTATTTATTTTCTTTATATCTACCGGAATTCGAACCCGCGGCGTAATTTGCTTAATACAATACAATGCTTTTAAAAACTAGTTCCAAGTATCATTAAAAGATTTACTGTGTTTAAGCCGCGTTTCATTAAACAGTTCATTAAGCTACCATAACACACGCTGCAACAAGGTAGCTCAAATGTAAGCTTTTAAAAACAGTTTTTAGTACTAGTATCATTTAGTACCGAGATCTCAAGTGCAACGATAAACCTAGACTAACATATCAAGAGTACTGTATTCTCTTGAGTAATGCTCAGACGTTCAGCTTCGTCTAATTAGGCTATTGATAAGACGCGGGTGGTCCAACCACCTGTCACTGATAACATAATGCAATGTTTTAAGAGATCAGGTTTTGTAGCAATTTTATTATCTCATTGCAAATTCCAGGCGAGTCCCTGGGTATACCGTACGTAAGCCGTAGAGATAAGTAACTGGAGAATGGTAGACCGTACACACATCCTTAAAGGTTTTGGTCACAAAATATTTTTATTAAGGGACTTTAGATTGTTGTGAAATGAGAAAGAACTATATTTTCTTATAAAAAAAAAGAATTTGGACTTTAGTTTCAAATGTACCTACTTCAAGAAATGGTCGGATTAAAAATAAATAGAATCAATTTAAATAAAACACAAACAGTTTATAACGTGAAATATATTTAAATTATTTATAGTTGTATTAGTAATTAAACTTATTTCACCATTATTTTAACTACGCTAAAAAGGTTCTTTGACATTAGCCTTGTCAGTTGTTTTCCCCCTGGGGCACCTTTGACATTACCCAAAAAAGGGTTAGTCATTTGATTTCTCCGTAGGAACACCATACGTAAGGCTGCATTCAAAAAACAAAAAATCATTTGTTTTCCCGTGACCCGGCTGCTGCAAAGCATCCGAAACGTCAAACTGTAGTTAAAATAATATTCAAATAAGTTTAACTAATATTTTTCACATTTAAGTGTTTATTTATACTACTCGCGTTAACTACAGACAATAGATAGAATCGATTTGAAATTGTAGGGCTCCAGTACGGAGCTATCTATTTGGGATGATATTTTTTAAGGTCTATCTATCAAACCGTGTTTGAAATGCGAATAATAAAGCTACACTAATCTTACTCATCTTATGTAAAATATCAAAGTTCCAGAAACGTGTTAAGTAACAATATATTTCCAACCAAAAAATGTGAAACGCGATCCCCATACAATGAAATCACTGGCCGTAAAAACGTAAGTGCGTAAATTAAATGCGGGTAACGCGATACTGCTATTTACGAACTTTTTAAGGCTTAAGACCCATTTTGATTTCATTCGAAATAGACGTACACTGAAAGACCTAACTTTCCAAAAAACAAGCGGAGATGAAAATCTATTCCAGACATGTTTGTAGAATTGTAACAGAATAGTGACTTCATAAAATCCAACCCGCGAACTACTGACACGCCTTTTTGTTTATTCCTTAACGTAAAAATCTAACCTGTTTTTAATATATCTTGATGGAAGACGAAATTCTATATTTTTACTGCGGAAAAAATAGTCATTATATAGTCATATCGTCTGTTTTGCACTATTTGGTATGTTTCCCTGTCTTAAATAAGCTGCGTAGGCAAACACGCGTTTAGATCATATTGTTTTAAATTTTCTCGTAATCAATACAATGGAAACTCTAGATCGAGTGCCAACAAGAATGTTCCTATAGCCTATATAGCAATCCTTGACATGCAAACACGAGAACACATCGGAGCTATTAGCAATAAATTCTTCATCGTTAGTCAAATTAGAGCGTTTATCAACCTGCCCATATACTGGTAATTAGTGCGTCGCTATGGCAACGCAGAACAAACAACTTGATTGTCTCTTATAGGGTATTTAAACAAATAGCAAACTTCGATAAAAATACGATAAAACTTATATTTTTTTGGTATACTTGAATTGCACACCTAAATAGTAAAATTCATTTCTACCCTACAAGAAATGACTTTTTTTTAAATAAAACACTTTAACGGTTTAAAACGCGATATATTAGTTAAACTTATTTGAAAATTATTTTTAACTTTGGCCCGACGTTTCGCGTTTTAAACCGTTAAAGTGTTTTATTTAAATGTGTACTACTCGCGTAAACTATAGACAGTATCTAAGAAATGACTTGCTTTAGATTCTATAAAATAAAAATAAAAACACTTAGCAGTTTGAAACGTAAAATTCGATTGGTAATTTATTAAAACTACGGCCCGACGTTTTGGATGCTTTGTGGCAGACATGTTTACGGAAGGAAACTCATTTAAACACGGCACTTTTAACCGATTGAAACGCTAATTTACTATATTATGGTTTTGGGATTGATTTAGTATTTAGGTATAAACTTTGTGCTTTGCAATTATTTACAATATCGTCGTCAAATAATGTCTGTACTAAAAAAGGTTGTATAAGTAGAACTAATGCCTAAGCTAATTAGGTCCTATAACGGTCAGAATAAACGATTTATCGAAGAGCGGTACATACGAACACATAAATCTAGGTAAGCTAATAATAGCCTGCGGCGTCTGCGCAGAATCGCCAGACTAGGCGGCGGCTGCGGGGTATTCGAAAATCCGGGATTTCTTATCTAATGAGTCCAAGTGTTAGCGTCCTGACTTTCAATACGTGCATCGAATCGTCTCTATAATTCTTCTGTAACGTGTTGAACTTCATTTTGGAAATCTGGATATTAAATGGCTGATAGGAAAAGCCTCAAGTTTAGTTTGTAATATAGATTTCCGAAAATCCAAAGTCAAAATAAGGGTATTTCACTTTATTGAAAACCCATCTTGTGTGGACTCTTATTGTTAAAAATATATTATTTCGTTTGTAAGTTTTACACTTAAACTGATATTATAGAGAAAAATCTTTTAAAGGAATTTTTTTGAGTACAACCTTGGGATATTTTAGAAGAGTCAGATTGCCCGTCATTTCTATAGGGTTGGTCGTCAAAAATTATGTGACGTCAAATGATTTTTTTATGCTGTGCTTACAGTAAAGTTTCTTAAGCATGCCTACTGTTTTGATATCTGTTAACATTGAGACCTCTAAATATATATTTATCTAAATAATATATTTAACGTTACACGGAAGTGAACCCATACATACATTTATAAGCACAAATAAATATTCCCACATAACTCGACGATAAATTTAACCGTTTGATATACAAGATGGCATGTTTATTAAGACAGGATTACGCGAACGTATGTTTTTATGCGGGGCATCGGACGGAGAGGTTATGGTAATTGTTGGTAATATCGTCCCCCCGACGTACTGAATATTTCGACTCCCTTCACACTGACAGCTACTCGTAGAACTTACACATAGTTTAAATGTCCCAATCTTAACTAATATTATAATCTCCGGAACTACTAGTAAAATTGAAAAATTTGTTTCGTGTTAGTTGGACCGTTTATCGTGGAAGGCCTAAGGCTTTAATATATCAGGCAGAGACTTATAGGAGCGAAAAAAATAAGGAAAATAATTAAGCAAAATTTTCATCTTTGAACGTTTCCGTAACGTGCGCTGTGGAAACAGATTAAGATATCAAATAATACATATAAAAGAATTATTCCGCTTTAAATGATATAAAAAATGTTCACGACCGTCCATATCTTCGAGTATTATCTTTTAATATTAACTTGCAAGAAAAATGGGACCGAAGTCGTGGCTAACAGCTACATAAAACGATATGATTAAAACAAACTTGTAATATAATCGTCGAAAATAATTCTCTTGACGACCACCCAAATTGGCATTAACTTAAATATAGAATATTGAAATCTGTTTACAATATATAATTACTACAAAAGTAAAGAAAACCTTATGCTTAGCTTGTTCAAACAAATGACGGTCATTTGGCAATCCTACGCAAAGAAACCCTTCATCAGCGAAGAATAATATGTCGCGTTAAACCGTGTAATTTTGCTTTCGACAGGAATTTGAATTCGTTCATTTGGTTTTTATAATAATACAACGTTTAACGCGCCGAAATATTAAGTTAATTTATTTTACATGCCTTAGATACATACCTCTGGTCGAGAGTTTGTCTTGAATTACTTACATTATTAAAGGACTGTGTGTCTATCTCTTCATAGGAATTGGGCAATATAAAGCATAATGTACAGACAGAGTACATACATAACCACGTACGCCTCTACATTTCTCACTTATTTGTTATACTAACTTCACACACATAAAATTAAACATTACAAATATTAAAATAATTTGCGCACTTCTGATCTACTTTAAACGAATAGAATCAGAAAACGCGTGCTGACGTAGTCCGGCCGTCGCACTGCGAGTAATTTTTTTTATCTACCCTCAAATCTTATTATTTTTTAAAATGCTACCAAAGTAACGTCGGGGCTCATTATTTTTTTAACAGAATCCCCAGAGTTTATATACGAGTATACCTGAAAATTTTACAATTAATTTTTTTTGGGTAGATTTAGAATATAATATATTTGTTTACATTAATATTTTTCACAGATTGTGAAAATATAATTTGTTCTTAAGGAAATTTGTGTAAATTTCTACGTGCGCAATAAAACCAGTTGTTAATAAAGATACCAATAATTAGGTTACAACAATTAAGTAGTTTTATTTAGCACAGAGACTTATACAATACTCTCAAAAGGCATTGTATTGTAAATGGAAAACATTTCATCCACTTATCAATGTATCTCCAAATAAGTACTTTTAACTCAGTCCATAAGATGCAATAATCAAGGTTTGATACATTAACTTAGTCTGCACAATGCATGTTTTATTACACACATAACCCGAAAGGCCATCGGCGTCTCCGCGGTAGGGCAGATTACGCAAATTGCTCTTACGCCGACGGACGAACAATTTTGTTATTATTCTAAACAAACAATTGCGCGCACTTTGTCTCACTTCGGATACAATGTGCGCATCGCCAGTACGAGTTTTATTCGACGAGTGCGAAACGATTTCTTAGGATTGTCATCTATCATAGAAAAGGGTCGATACAATCTATATCTATACTTATATATAAAGCAGAAGATTTTTGTTTGTTTATTTGAACGCGTTAATTTCTGAAATTACAGGTTCGAAATGGAAAATTATTTGTTTTGGTTTGGAACATTTATAGAAGAAGGCTAAAGGCTAAAACATCGCGCTGTGACTAATAGGAGCGTGGAAACAGCGGGAAACATAAAATCATCACTTAACTTACAAGAACGACAGGTCGCTAACGAAGTCATGGGTAACAGCTTAAATGTATAGAGTTGAACAGGAGGTTTGCAAAAACGAATTTTGATGCCCTATATAACTATTCTACGAGGACTAAGTCGCTGACCCAGCTAGATATTATTAAAATTACAATTTAATTTGGTTATTAGATAAAGAAGACTACTTGTTAGGTCTTCGCTTAGTTGAGGAAATGTCTGTCTGTGTGCGAGTCCTACTGGTATCAACTAAAGATGATGGCGAAAGATCGAGACACTATTACGACGAGGAATAGGAAGTTTTCTAGATGTCTTTTATATTTGATACAATTTTACACCACTTTGTTATAGTTTAAGCTCGTAGTAGGGGTAAAAAGGGCCAACGACCGCATTATCACGTATACGAATCATTTCTATGAGTCGTTGATTCTAATGAGTATAAGCAAACGGTGGTGCGCTGACGCATATAATCAATAATAGTATGAATCCGATATAAGTTATATAATGGTTTTCAAACATGTATTATTTATATTTTATAACATACACGAGAACAATGTGGATATTTCTTCGGTAGTCTTGAGTAGTAGTTAAACACAACGAACTCAATCGAACTTATGCAGCAAAACTATGTATTTACAAAAAATTGTAAATAACTTTCCTTCATTAAATTTTAAGGCTTTACTCTGAGCTTTTTACACACATCCTATTTGACTTTATAAATAAGTGAAATGCACTTTAGTTATTAATTTAAAATGTATTCTTTAAAGATATTTCCTCTTAGTCCTTACATTTATATATTTTCTCTATTCCAACGTCCGTATTAAACATAACACAAAAATTTATAAACCTATGTTAGTGAATCAATAAATGAAGTACCAAACAATAGCACTTACCTCGACATCCTGCAGCAGTCAAATCCCAGTGTTCCAGCAGACAAGTGTCGCAGTGCGGGGGCGAAGCACCAAGGGCGCAGTCACATACTCCCGAGCTGCGTTCACAAACGTCACTTACAGCGGCCATACCACACCGGCACAATGGACAACCGGAATCGACATCTAGTAGAATAATGATAAAATATTAATAATACTTTTCGAGGTAAAAAAAATACGAGTTTTTAATTTTTAATTTCAAAATAGAGTGTGATAACAAAAATTCAGATAGGTTTTTATTATTGGATAAATGAAGCATTTCTTATTTACCTCCATATCCAACCGCGCAGATGTCACAAGCGCGTCCAGTCCAGCTGCTTGCGCAAGCGCACACTCCCGTACGCGTATCGCATGCGCTGGAGAGGGCACCGCGGCCGCATGCGCATGGCACACAAGCGCCACCTTCTCCGCCTGCCCAGAAACCCTCCTGTAACCATACAATTATATATAACAATACACGCACATAATATAAAATTATCTATTAGCTGGTATTCGAAAGTGTTAAAGTATACTTTATGTTCCTCTTTCTTTTCACTAATTACAATAGTTTGTTAGTAAAAAATTAAGAAATATTTTTACCTGACACTGATCACATCTCTCGCCCTCCGTATGCGGTGGACAGACGAGACAAGCCCCCGTAGAAGCATGACAAGGTCCCCCTCCACACTCGCAAGGGACGCAGGAACCCCCAGGGGTCGTCGGTGAGCCCCAGTAGCCCGAATCACACCTGATAGTGCAAAATTACGTTTTACAGAAGATGCGCATTCGACCCATTTTGGCTTTGGAGACACCCAAAGACTGAAACCGCAACGCGATTAAACTTCACGGCTTTTTTTGTGTGGACGGTAGTTCGTGACCTGGACGGAATTTTCGAAATCTACACCCATAAATATCCAGATTTCCAGATTCCAATTATAAATTGAAAACTAGAAACGTGTTCGACCCGTTGATGATCAGTCATACATTGCTACCATTAGACCAACTAGGCCGTCAAGACCTTCACCGAAGCCGGCGCCTACTTCCAAACTTCCGAGAAGCACTGGGAATCGACGTAGTCCTAAACATTAAAAAATGTATGAAAGAATCTAACAGGAAAAAGAACTGACATCTCACAATGGTCTCCGGCGTAGCCATCAGGACACTGCGTGCAAACGAACTCGTCGCCTTCAGCTCCAGCCAACGCGCAGTTTGGACTAAAGTTGTTACTTGACTCGTACAACGGGCACGCACATGGCTTGCAGCCACCCTGTAATGGGAAAATCATCATTCACGGTACTCTACAACATTCAGATTAATCTATACTAATATTATAAATGCGAAAGGAACTCTGTCTGTCTGTCCCGCTTTAACTTCGGAACTACTGAACTGATTTAAATGAGATATTTTAATGCCAAAAAGTGTTGACAGGGGTTGAAAAAGGGTATGAAAAAACTTTCTCCTTTGGCTTTGACACGAAAGCAACTGAAGAGGCTTCCTAGATAGGGAAAAATATAAATACTATCTGCAGTTTACGCGAGGAGTACACATTTAAGTAGAAGACACCAAAACACATTTGAAAATGACTAACTACAGCATGACGTTTCGGATACTTTGCAGCAGCCTTGGTGCCGAAGAGACGTCGGGTCGTAGCAAAAATAATTTTCAAATAAAATAAATATACATCGTGGTTTAAACCATTTAACTGTTTTATATAAAAAAAGAAAAATATATACTAACCGTGACTGGATTCCCATAGTGACCTGGAAGACACCTCTCACAATGCGGTCCTGTCGTGTTGTGTTGGCATTCACCGCAGGGTCCATCCACTGAAATGCAATTAATATTAATAATATCGATTTATAAAGTGGTGACACGTGGCAGAAGAAATATCTACATATTCCTCATAAATTTATTTGATTACTTTGCATTTGAAAAGATATAACAAGCTTTTTTTTAACAAAAATCAGTTCTTAACAGAAGCACGTAAAGCAGACTAAAAAAACGGTATATACTCCCACTTTATAAAACATAGGTTTGATTATATTATAGACCATTTTCATACCTGTGGTACACCCAGCATGCATGTTACAAGCGCACGGCACACACTCGAAGGAAGGCAAACTGCCAGAAGCACGTTTGATCTTCACGTGGGTCCAGGAGCATTTGGAGCAATGTGCCCCCTCGTAGCCAACAGGACAGGAGCACATCTCTCTGGTGCTATGAGAACTTCGAATTTCCACGCCTTCTAATCTTACCTGCATAAAAATTCTAGTCATTAAAGGATCCTAAGCCAAGATTTTAGTAAAAAAAAACATAATTCTACTTTTTGAAGAGATAGAACAGTAATAAATAATATTTAAACCTCGTCTTGGTCATTATGGAAGTGTGCCCTGATCATCAAAGCACGTATATCAGTAAGCGCGTCCAGAAGTTGTGTTCGCGACGCCACCTCATTGTCCAGATACCAGTTCCCCTCCTCAAGGGATGCAATTAAGTTCAACTGCCCGGCTGTCTCGTGACTGCTGTTTATGTAGCTCAACTTTTTACCGTCTGGAAAGGAAAAGATGTTAGATTGTTGAATTAACTTGATGACGAAGCACTATCGGATGGCTCGACAGAATACGCGAAATAAACGAGTCTTCGTACATTAAAAAAGAATTAACACAAAATACGAAACGATTGAATCGGTCTAAACGGATTCATTTTGAAAATGCAGTATTTTCGATACAGTGACAGTAACGCGACCGACCGCTCCTGACTAATATTAATATTGACTTTGAATAAAATTCATTCGCTTCACGATTTATTCCTGACTACCCGCCGGGCACAAATGATGAGGGAGGAAACGGAATTTCACACACAAGCAAGATCGACGGCACGCGACTGACTTCGTGGGTAACATTTAAAATTTATAAAGATGATAAGATTTAAAACAAATTTGGATGCCTAAAGTACTTGTTCTACGCCCATGAAGTCACCGACACAGCTAGTCATTTATAGGTGTTAACAAAGTATCCAGTCGATTTGGTAAATGTATTAGATGGTAGCAGACGCGACACGGCCATACATATATGACATTTCACACGGATATATGACGTAGCGTTGTCGGGTGAACAGATAGAATGCTTGAAATAAACGTCGTTCCGTACGGTACAAAAGATTATTTAAACGGTCCAAAACGAATTATGACAAAATACGCAACGATTGATTCAATCTAAACAGATTTTGGAAATGTAATAATTTCGATACAGCGAAAGCAACGCGACCGATGATTCGTGACTAATATTGTACGTACAAAAGACTATTTTAAATGTCCAAAATGAATTAAAACAAAATACGCAACGATTAAATCGATCTAAATGGATTACTTTTGGAAATTAATATAAATAATTTCGATACAGCGAACAATCGCTTCACGATTACAAGTTGACTAGCCGATCGACACGAAATTGTGTCGGAGAACTGACTACCCCGTCGTTATTTGAAATTAACATAACCGTCTGTCATTTCTCAATGACAGTTTGTCAATGCTACTATACCGACCATACTCAAGTCAAAAGTGTTACTTGACGTTTTCGCATATCCTGTAAGGTTGAAATTCATTGCGCAAGATGTGCATGTATCAATAAGTGGGAAAAATTCGACGATGAGGTGTAGGACTCGGTAGGTCAATTGGTAAAGCACGGAACGGAACGCTGACGATGCCGGTTCAAGTCATGCTCGAGTCGAAAAATTTTCAATTGATTTTTTATTTTTAAATTATCCTTTATAGTAGTTAAACAAACAATCTAGATATATAGTTGTTATGGTAAACGTAATAGATGGCACTGCATACACACATATGAAACGGAACCTGGATTAAGAAAGTAGTATCCAAATAAAATTATTTTTTGTCAAAGCCGCAACCGAGAGGTTTACTTTAGACAAGAAGGATGAAGCAATGCAGCATTGCATGATCTTCTCTTAGTAAATAGTACCTCATTGTTGCCATGACGCGATCTTCCTATGCGCTTGCGGTGGAATATAGTTTAATGTACGGGTGAATTGGACTCTGCAACTTTTACTTTGTATTTTACTCCAATAATAATGGTAACAGTATATATTGTAATTGACTCTAGTACATCAATGATTTTATTGCGCTTGTTTTATTTCACTCGTAACACTGTACAGTAGAGTAAAAATATATAAAAGGTAAACATATTAATAGTACTACATATAGTAAAGCTTTATGATATAAGGTAGTTTAATAAGCTGATTAATAAATAACTGATCTGTATAGAGAAGAAATTCATACTGAGCTTTTTTATAAAGTAAAAATGATAATGCCTTTTCGTCATAATCAATTAACGTTTATTTATTGCCCGCAGTGTTTGAAGAAAATAAATGCTACAAATAATTCAAGAAGTACATTTAGGGATAGACAGGTGCAAAGCAAAGGGCGCGCATGACAAGTGCTATACTGGCCAGGCATACTGAGAGATATAGAAATTTGATTTAAAAAATGTATATTTTGTCAGGAGCTTTTGCTCAAATTCACACACCAAGGAGGGTATGTTGCCAATAAGCAAACATACACCTTTGCCCCCCAGGGCATACATATATCAGAACCTTCTTTATCCCAATAAAGAAGGTTCTGATATAGGTACTTGAATACAGAAAAAGAACTTCTTAGTTTTAGTTTATTATGTTTTATTAAATTTCACTGGAGTGTGTGACAAGAAAAACTTCTCACACACTTATTGAGTTCTTAAAAAAGTATTTGCCCGCGCTCAATGTAAGCTCAAGACTATCCGCTTTATCGTGTAAGGTATTCTAAATAGGTTATTAATATCAGTAGTTGCTGCACCCTGTTGTGCAGAACAACTAGTACTTACCATTTGAAATGATAATAAAATCAGGCCCAACCGTGGGACTGCCACCTGTGTCTCCGCGAGCGACTCCCCAGTACAGGCTAGCTCGGACTTCACCTCCATACGCCTCAAGCTGTTCTCCGCTGTAGGTGTTGGTTAACCAATAAAAAGACTCCCATCCTTCTACCTAGAATCCATTGAATGGGATTAAAGATTTAAAGTATTTTTTTCCATTATTATATTTCCACTTTTGCTGGAATTATCAGTTAAAACAAAACGTGAGAAAACCAAGACCTAAAGGAAAAGTTTATTTTTGACGCTTAATATATATTGGGTATATACAAGAGTCCTTGTATGGTATCTATATAAAATTAAGATTACCTCATAAGTGATCAAGTATGGTTTCCCCTGCTCATCCACGGAAGGTTCCAGGGTCTCGTTCAGAGCAGCATCGGTGATGATCCACGCCTCGCCCAGGGGCAACACCACCTTTCCTCCAGAAGTATTATTTTCAGTTATTGTTCCATATGGAAACCAGAATTAAACGATTTCATTCTATATTATAATGTTATTCTATACTAATATTATTAAGCTAAAGAGTTTTTTAATTTGTATTTATAAATACAGCCTGCTAACATGTGAAATTATAGTAAAGCCCAGTTCCTTACACTATATCATGCAAATCTGTTTAGTAATATAAGTGATAAGAACTGGATAAATCTTAAAGATAATAACGAAGCAAACTCACGTCAGGATACAAATGTGGGCGATGATCAGTTCTGCATGTGTCCGCTAGATGGGAGCAGTAGCAAGGGGCGCACCCATCTACCGAATCTCCGCTCAAGCCGAAGTACCCCGGGGCACACTCGTCGCACCTCTCTCCGATTACGTTACTCTGAAAATACAACGCAAATAATAATTACTCACAGATCCCTGGCATTGTTAATGTACTGACGTTGTGAAACTGAAGAAATTTCACAGATGATCAAAAATATGTATCTAATTAGGTACCGCATAAGTCGCAATAAAATTTTGCATGGTTTGCAATTGGCTCGTTAGTCAAATCATAGTAAAATATGGATAATAACAATCAACGGGTCGTGTGTTGAATCTCTACCGGGCTGATATGTAAGTAATACATTTTCTGAATCATGTTGGTCTCTGTCTGGAAATTTTCCATAATAAATGGATGGTAAGGATTAGCGAAAATTCCGTCGGAGTCACGCATCCACAAATGAAAAAGTCGTGATATGGATTTCCGAATATTTAAATCCTAAGTAGGCCGACAGCGCATCGTATTAGATGTTATGTGGCGGGGGTGTTCCTTTTTTCAAGTCTGTCCTCCTCTATCATTAAAAATATCTGCAACAACGAACGATGGGCTGACTTGGTGACGGCTACTACCACAAATTGCTTAACTCATGGCCTGACTATCATGCGCATAGGTTTCTAATTTGGTCTATTTTTGTGAGTTGGAAGTGTGAAGTCCATTTTTAGTTTTTTGTCGTACCTTACATTCGCAGACTTCATCACAAATCCTACTCGCATCAACGATTCCTCTGGTATCACATTTGCAGGCTGGTGTCGTGATTTCCATGACACAGTTCGGGAAGACGGCGTTGATATCCTCGCAGGATTCGCACTTAGGTCCTGAGAAACCCGGGTGACAGGCGCAGAGCACACGCTGATGGTTCCTGTCCCAGGTGCAAGACCCTGAAAATGTTTTCAGTCTCATGTGAGGATAATTATTACAGCAATTTCTTTTGACTGTATTATAAATATCCATCTATTGACATCTTTTCTTAAATGACAGTCTTTACCATCAGAGCCCTCAGGGTCACAGTCGCAAGGTACACAAGGGCCATCCGACAGTGCATTGTAGAAGCCAATCAAACAGTGGTCACACAATGGTCCAGCTCGATTTTCCTGTAATAAGTACTTTTATTTACATATATATATAATATAAAAGGACATTTTTTGAGTACTTATTAATTCTGTAGTGTAAAATTATTATCGACATTGTTCCAACACCCTTTAACGGTTTAAAACTCAAAATATGCAGCAGCCCTGGTCACGAGGAGACTAAAGTAAAAACTGCTACGTCAGCACCATCTGTTCCGTCATAGTTGTAAAGCATCCGAAACGTCAGGCCGTAGTCAACTTTTAATTAATTTTAACTAATATATTTCGCGTTTTAAACCGTTGAAGTGTTTTATTTAAATCTACAATATACTGACAGCATGTTAACTAAAATTTAATTGATTTTTGCGTTCTCCATAATGTAATTAAAGAATCTCACCGTGCAATTCACACAGAGTATATCTCCGGCATTGTCGAACGAACACTCTCCTCTTTCGCCGCAGGCATTGCAGACACCAGGTGGAATGTCGCATGGCTCGTGGGGTCTCCACTTGGAGCCAGAACAGCAGCGTTGGCAGTGTCCTCCGCAAGTGCCTTGCAGACAATCACATTTTGCCCCCTAAATTAGTCGTAAATATACTCTCTCAAACACTAGTATAACATATAAAATAATTAGGCAAACTTACGCAATTCGCAAGAATTAGTAATTTAATTCGGACGTCGTAACGAAAACACTAAACTACCCTACTACCCTATTTTGCTATCATTATTTCTAATTGAATTCTTAATGAACTACAGATTATAATAATATATAATTGCCGTTTATCAAATCAGGGTATAATGTGGACAATATTTTTTTTAATACTGGCTAGTTTAATCATTTATATTACCTTCTGATCCACATTGCAATGCGATGCATGACCATGGCACAAGCACCTGGCCGCTAGAGTCAATTCCCTGACGGTATAGTAATGGTGGGGGGCGGTGTGCGTCGCTCGGAAGGAGATGCGCACGCGACGGGCACTAACACCTTCACCGATCGCTACATGCATCTGGAAACAGCCAATCGTATAATCAGGGATGAAGACAAATTAATTTCGGATCATAGTTTAAAATTAGATAAGTTAAATTATTGAATACTGTACTTTATGCGAGCAGTAAGCATTTAAATTAAACACTTAAACGGCCAAATACCAACTACGACGAAACAGGTAGCAGTTTTTACTTAGACAATAGTGACACCCTCCATCTTTAGTGTCCTCGTGACCACGGCTGCTGCAATGCATCCGAAACGTCGGCCCGTAGTTAAAATGACTATCAAATAAGTGTAACTAATATAAGTAGTAATTTATATACATATAGCATTTTAAAAACGTTAAAGTGATTTATTATAAAAAATGTTTGGTGTTGATTAAAAAAAAAACTTTTTAAGAAAAAGTATCTTTTTATAAATTAAAAGTTATTTCGTATAATAAAGCACTATAAACAGTTATCTAACTTATTTTAATTAGTACTAGATATGTATCAGATGTTACCGGGCAACAAACGAAAGTACCTGAATGACGAATTGTGTATTTTAATATCATATTGATACTCTTATCAATATTATTCATGCCATTATATGAGTCAGTGACACTTAAAAGTACCCTTTTACATACATTTTCACAATCGAATCAATTAATTCTATCGCTATCGTTTAATGCCGTTAAAGATTTGGACGTTTACAAGGACGTCTACGAATGAATGAGGAAAAAAAGCAAATATTTTTTTTATAGGAAGAGGACAGACAAACATGGGGTTCATGGTAGGTGAAATACCCCGGCCTATAGGATCTAAACACGATGTGCTATGGGCCTATTTTGCCTTTGGATATTCGTAAATCTACAGATTAAAACCGAAACGTGATTTCGACAACCCATTTAATATCCAGATTTCCAGGCAAAGCCATGTATGTTTCAGAAAAATTATAATTGAAAAATTTAAAACATGTTGAACCCGGTGGGGATAGAACCCACGGCCCGTTGATTAGTAGCCTTACATTACTACCATTACACCAACGAGCCTTCCATTTACTGCAGATCTTACCTCTCCATTCTCCAAAGGTTTGGGATTTGCAAACTGAGTGGAACAAGCCAGCTTCTCCTTGCCTTTGGCTCGGGCCTTCCGACGTTTCCTCTCGGGTCTCAGGTCCCAGAGGTGCTTGCAATGTTCTCTATCACCGAACGCTCTGATCATCCGCCAGTCCTCACCGCCCAGGGAGGGCGACACTTCGAGAGACCAAGCGAGTGGGCGCGGCGAGGGTCCAGACTTTATTATGACATGGAGTAACTCCATTTTCTGAAAAAATAATATAACGATCATTAATCATTTATCTTCTTAAACACGTGAACTTTCTTTATTGACGAATATATATATACTGTATATATACTGTATTGTAGGAAGTTCTAACACAAGAAGACAATGATTTAGAGTCTTACGTTTGACGTCAACTTTAACAAAATATCTCCACGAAATCTAAGTGGTCTGCGCATGGGCAAGACATGCACCGAGCAGACGCCATTAAAAATGCAAATAAAGTTGAGACCGGCTGAAACTGAATTAGTTAAGCGTGTATCGCCCATTAGCACCGCCACCTAGGGTTGACTATGCTGGAATTCTAGTGCATTATCACATTCGATTTAGGCCTATCAAAATTTAAGTTACCCCGAACACATTTAAAATTAAGGTTTAAAAAAAAGCTAATAAAATAACTTAACGGAGAATCAAGATAATCAAAGTATGATAGTTGTTGGTCTAATGGTGCTAACATATCATATTTTAAAAATACTTAAAAATTAAATTTCGTCCAGAAATCTGGATATTAAATGTAGGCAGGGAAATGTGAATTGTTTGTGAATGATGATCGTCGTCAACAGTTGAAAAAAGTTATCACAACCTGTTGATTCCGAATTCCAAAGCCCAAGTCAAAACTCAAAATAATTAATTTCACATGACATAAATAACTTGAATATTAGCTTAACATTAAAAAAAGAGAAAGAAACTTGGAAGACACTAGGCATGTGCTTCACCACCCAGAGCAAAGATGCGCCAATTTTCAGTGCCCCCTGGTGGAGAAAAGTGACTAAACTAAACGGCGATCATCGTACAATTAAGTTATCTAATATATTTGAACTATTACAGGTGCTTTTTGGAAATGTGTTTTACTTGCGTAAACTACAGACAATAATTCATAATTATTGTCTGTAGTTTTATTATCACTACATAAAACAAAGTAGCTTTTTCTGTTCCTATGGTCGCTTAAATCTTTAAAAGTACGCAATGGATTTTGATGCGGTTTATTGAAATAGATAGAGTGATTTAAATAAAATACTTCAACGGTTTAAAACGCGTTATATTAGTTAAACTTATTTGAAAATGATTTTTAACTTCGGACCGACGTTTTGGATGCTTTGCAGCATCCGTGCAAAGCATCGCGTTTTAAACCGTTAAAGTGTTTTATTTAAATATGTATTACTCGCGTACACTATAGACAGTAGATAGAGTGGTTCAAGATGAAGGTCTTTATATAAAAACGTTCACAGTTTTTCTGTAGTGTATTTAGTATTAGCAAGCAAAGCCAGGGCGGGTCGCTATTATATCTATTTTCAATTTTTGAAAAGGTAACACGCGACAACCCTACCTGTGGGAACAAAGATAGGAAAATCATTTGTGTACCTTTTCTTTGGGATTCCTTAGTTTAAAGCTTACAAAGTGGTTAGACAAATAATTGGAAACTATTCTTAGCTGGCAACAAATTGTTTTGTTTGTTGCGTGTACGGCTTGTGTCATACGTTACTAGTTGATAGGATTTTTAAAACAAACAAACCGGATTTAAATTGTCTATCTGTAAATGATTGGTTTAATATTACAGCATTCTAAAAAAGTTCTTAAAACTTTAATAATGACAAAAAACATCTTCATAAAATATTAACTGAATTAAAGAGTGTTTTAATTGAAGCGTTTGTTTTAATCGATAAGTTTGCTGTTTTAATTAGCCCGACACGTAATCTGATCCAGCGATTTTGTCCGAAATGTGTACATTTACCGAGTAAACAGTTTTTGTTATTCTTGAGATACCGTTATCATCGCCAGGTGTTTTCTCAAGTGCTAATTCGATAAGGAAAACCATATACTAGGGAATTAGAATTTTTAAAAGTATTATATATAATAGCATAAAAATAAGACAATATTGACAGAGATTTACCTATATCGTCACCTACTTTTAATAACAACTAAATAAGCTATTACATTTTTAAATTGTATAATCGTAGAATATTTTACTGCATGATAACTATTACTTTTTTTAAAGAAAATCTAGAGATCTAACATAATTGACCTGTTAGATTTTGGCAAAGCTATTGATACACTAAAGAAGTGAGCAAATGTTAAAATACCAGAGCGCAACATCCATTTACCAGCACAATAAGAAAGAGCGGATTCCCACTGCAACTCGCAATAAATCACGCGCCTGCGCCTTACGAGGTTCTCATAAAAAGCGGCGGGATGTCTCGGATGCCGCTAGGGCCTTCGTTAGTTCCCCCATACATGGTCGAAATCGAGCCGAACCGTCACTTTTTGTTTCCTTGTTACACGCGGTTTGATTGGCGCGATTGCATCGTTAAATCCTATTTGTTACAAAATTTAACACTACAGGACTATTTACAAACTCATTGGAGTATTGATGAAGATGTAGAAACGATAGATATAGCAATTTTTAAAGCGAACATGATAGATACTTACACCTAAGCAATAGCTTTATACGATAAGTCAATGCTGAAATCCTGTGAAAGATTATTATTTAAACGACGCTTGGAGGAGCATATTAAGTAAAGCCACTGATTTTAATCGGCAGCATCTCGCGTGCTAAATATTTACGGAAGCGGCAAATTGAAAGGATATATTATATCCTCGTAATCTTGGAACCATCGAAGGAGCTTACATAATAAAATAAAATTGGTGCCGCAATTTTGATCAAACAGATCTTTATTATCGGTGGCAGCTATCGTCCCGATAAGATACGATGATAAGCCAGCTCAGTTTGCAAGAGTACTTCAATTGGAGAGTATGTTAGACGATTGTTTCTGATCTATGGATTCCCAAACACCACTGAAGGATTTAAGTTGATGTGCCGTTAGTGCTATTAATATGTCCAAGCAAAGACCAGGTTCTAGCCTGCAAACTGTTAGAGTGGAACCTCGCTACTCTTATAACAAGGAAAGAGAAAAGAGTAAGAGTGTGGACTTTGTGTATGTCAATTCCGCGTTTGTTAACAGTGTAGATAATGTGAATCAGCCTGTACAGGAACCACCAACGACGTAAGTTTTTTTTTATTTATATTTATAACTTATTAATAGACCATTGTTAGTTTGACCTATATTAAAGGGAAATGTTTTCAGACATAATTATTTGTATGTGCATATTCTTCCATATTAGAACTACCCTGTTAGGGTACAATGCCAATTTTTTAATAAATTAATTAATTTAACCACTAAGGGAAATAACGCTTTGTAATTATTCTTTTTTATAAGTACAAAGTTAAGTTGCAAAACTTTTTCTTACAGTGTCGCTTACACTATAAAAAAAAGTTTTGCTTGACGATATCAAGACTCATTGAGAGATTCCTGTAGATATAAAACATTAAGAGTATATTGCTAATATCATTCGATGTTCGCCAAGTGTGCAATCGAAGATAATTCTCGTATCGGCATTTCACGATAGCAGATACAGACTATTGGACCTTGTACCTCCAACATGATAGGTTTTTTTTTCCACACATACTAAAAACAAAGTGACGTGATTACTTCCACATCTTAAATGAAGCTTAACACAAGTAAATAGAATAATTACAGGCAATTGTGTTGATTCCATTAAAAAAAAACGCAACTTGAAGGATGAATGGGTCCACCGCAGTATTGTCAGTTGAGACAATTTCACTATCTTTGAAAATCAGCCAAACAATTAAATGAGCCTTAAAAAGGTTTTTGTTCATGAAGAAAATATTAAATATACAAAAAAATTGTTTTCAGAGTCATAAGGGAACAATATTGGGCGTGTTCAAAATGGCCGATGGGCCAGCGAATTTTGGCTATCACCGTTGGTGTGTTGCTGGGGACAGTTATAGGACTTACTATCCTCGTGGTGATCAGGGGTGACGATGAAGATATGCCAAACCTTTTGAGGTTACAACCGAAACAATAAATCGATCGAGTTTATATTATAGAACTGCGGTTTTAATAAAAAACGTCGACGTGTAATCATATTCATAACGCCCCCAAGAGAAAAAAGAAATGGTTATGTGGTGAAAAATTTACGTCTTATTACAGTAAAATCAGAAGTTAATTTAAATAACACCACTTAACGATTCAAAACGCGAAATATTGTAACTTAAATTACATTTCTTATAATTAACTTTCTCGGTACCCACGTCCGAAACGTCGGATCGTAGTTAAAATATGTGAAAAAAGAAATGTAGGTACTGCATGATATAATTGTCGTTTTAAACCGTTAAAAGTGTTTTATGAAATGTACTACTCGCGTAAACGACAGACAATAACTTAATTAAAATTATTCAAATGTAACCAAACAATATGTCTTGCTAGAACAAAATGATTTTTTTGATATGGAACTGTTTTGTGTAGTTTAAACGTCATAGAACTCTATCTCAGTGTTTTTATTTTAGTTTTAATAGTATTTTAGAATTGATAGTGATTTGTATATGTGAATTGTGAATGATTTGATATTGATTTATGCATTACGGTGTATTCGCCGTATACTGGGATCTTACTTGCAAGATGTTCATATTTATATGAATGACAAAACTTACACCTGCTATATGACAAAAGTCTTGTAAACAAAATAGAAGACGTCACACTTCTGAATTAGTATTAATGCCTGATACCGTGAGATTAGATATTCAAAACGGAAGATAGTAGTAAAGAGGAAAAACAGTTTTTACAAACGACTGATATCGGCTTATCTTGTTAATCTCGCAAAAGAACATTCGAGAATATTTTGAAATAAGGGAAAACGAATACATGTGTTTAAATTATTTGGTACTCTCAAAATAATAGCTATGACTAAGCAAATATTGTCACTTGTCTTCGATTAATCTTTTCTACGAAAAGTAATTTTAAAATATCTTTGATAGATAGCAAAATTGGATTAATTATATTGTAATGATTCTATATTTGTATAAGAATGTTGAATATTGTTTTGTTGACAAAATAAAATTGTAAAACCCATATTGAATGCTTTACTACAAACGCTTAAATAAATTATTGTGGCCTTGGTGGTTTGAAGATAATTCTTAAAATATTATTCTTTATTTATTTTTTTATAATAGAGCTTCCTCTACATGAAAGATGAAATATGCCAGCCGTATAACATCGAAACAAAATGCGCCGTTAACCTATTTTGGCTTTGTATATTCGGAAATTAAAGGACTGTAACCAAAACGGGGGTTTTAATTTGTTGACGGTGGCTTGTGGGCGATGTTTCGTTACTCGGATACTATTTTGATATTCCTACTACCCATTTATTGTATAATTCTTATATTTATTAAGAATGTTCTCTGATATTATTGTTAGAAAATGCCGCTTCAATATTAATTAAAAGCTCAATATGGGAAAAGCTTTTATTATCCTTCGACTTTAGGAGTTAACTCGAAATTGCATTTGCTGTAAATAAAGCTGACATTTAGTAAAATTTCATCACGATTACGAGGTTAATAAAGATCGCAGTGATTAATGAAGAGCACAAGGTTGCACTTTGGCGCCATTTTTCACCACGATACCGATCTTAATTCGCCTTTTGGTGTTTTAACAAAAAGATTAAGGCGCTCGCGCAATTGCCCTTTTCACGTAATGAAGCACGCGCTTGTGCAATATGTTTCGCAAAAATATAGCTGAAAGCAAAGACGTGGGAGAAACTACTTATTTGAATATGTTAATATCAAAATTAAACTTGTATGTGTGTGTTGCTTTCGAGTTGTTTTAATTCTACTTTTTCGACAAGTAATATTAGGAAAGGAAAAGTTGACAACGTTTAAATTGAAAACATTTGACTTATTGAAAGTAAATCAAACTATACAATTTCCCTAAAACAAAAATGATAGATTTTGAAAGTATAAAAATCATGACATGACATACATTGGAGCTACGGATGGGTCAAAATTATTGGAGTAATAAACAATGTCTGATATGAGTAAATTGGTGTTTTTACTATGAAACAGATATAATCAATACGAGAACCTAATAATCCTTCACCAATGTTGAAAAAATACGGCGTATATGCAAGGAATATCCTGCCATCAAAGAACTTGTGGTCACGAGTTCTCGATGAATCTTTAAGCAATTCTAGCTATTAGGCTGTCCAAGATCCACTCACTCCCTATAATTTACAATTTACCTAGGACGCACTGGGAAGTGAACAAAAAAAAAGCTTACACGTAATAGTGATTACATAAAAAAAAGTTATTCCAAGTCCATTAAGCGTAATACCATGCAATTTTAAAATATATTAAAGAAAAAATTACAATAAATTAGCAAATTTTAGAAAATAACACTAAAGTATAAATTTAATATTATATAAAAGAAAATGTATAAATATAAAAAACCTACTGATTATGCGATCAGTTTTACACCAATACTTCGTCAAAATTATATTATATAAAAGTTACATTCTTTTAATTGATAGGGCTTTATCCTGTATCCTACGAATCCCACGAGCGACGGTTACCCTAAACTAGTTGATCGGTATCGGGCAACGCTGATACGCTATTTTCTTCGTCCATTGTTCATCGAAGCGCATTGTGCAAGAAATTTCACTTATCTGAAGCTGAGCTAAAAATAGATAGCTTAGATATTTAGCTGCAGTGCTGTGGAAACCTTAATGATTAAGGATGGCGAAGGAATACGATTATTAAAACCATAATAGTATTTAAAAAATCATGTAATATATATACAACTCTACAAGTATTATACGACACAATAAACTTATTTAACAAACGTTTTAAAATAATTAGTTTATCATAAGATTTATGTAGGCTAATTTTAAATCTTATGCCTATTGTTAAACTATCTTACGTTATTCATCCGTTGCCCTGGCGCTTATTAAGATATTTTTAATTAAAACGCAATCTTGCCCCGTGTTCCGACAGCGAAGCATCGGACGGTTTTCTTGATACTGTTTAAAATATCACAAGACTTTAAAATACAGACAATATCGTAGTCGATCCCCAAATAGCCCATTGTGTAAATTATTGCTACAAATTCCTAGATAACACGAGTCATTCATTATTCGTTATAGACTACAATAAGATAAAAACCACTTAACTATTGATAAGTGAATGTAAGGGATGACAATAAATTAGACGCGCCCGGCCTCCCGTGGTAGCTTGGAAATTGGAGATTTAAATATATTTTTTATTTTTATTAATGGGCCGAGATGTTGAGTACAAATGGAAATATGGTTGACCTAGAATAAGTATATACTGTCTGTTGTTTACGCGAGTAGTACACATTTAAATAAAACACTGTAACAGTTTAAAACGCGATATATATTAGTAAAACATATTTGAAACCATTGATTGACCACGGTGCTGCAAAGCATCCGAAACGTCGGGCAACAGTTTAAAATAATTTTAACTAATATATATCGCGTATTAAACCGTTAAGGCTAAGAAGTTATTTTCTCTTCTTCGAAATAGTTTTACTAAAATTACCCTTCTACTCGCTGTCTATTCAATTACATTTACCCGCAATTTTCGTGACATACAATAAAGTATGCCAAAATTTTTATTGTCAGAACTAAACAAAATATTATCAATCGAACATAATATTGTTTCCCTGTTTTTGCTATAATAAAACCAATAGGCGCTTCTTTTGTCATAATATTATGTTACAATATGAATATTTTTTAAGTTCAATTAACGATCTGAGATAAAAAAATATTTTAGCCTTCCTAAGAAAATACTTTAAAATCAAAACCTTTTAAGTTCAACAACTTGCCTTGTAATCCACAGTATTTAAATGAGAAAACATTTAAATAAGCGGTAATTGGCGAGAGCAATGTCGCCAAATTGTGGTCATTTTTCACGCGGACCGTTTGAAGTTGTAATTAGTTAGAGTCGAAAAATGCAACCTTTCGCAAAATTTGCGACATTAAGTATTTGAAGTAATTTTCGCAATTAAATATTTCGTTACCGACAACTGGTTTTTATAGTTTACACACTAAATTGAATATGTCGTAAAATGTTTCCCAGTATAGGTAAGTAAAAAAAAGTAATATCATTACCATTAACGTAAATTTCCTTCCATAATTAAGTAAACATTCTCTCTATGTATGATACATTAAAACGTTTCACCAATACGTGCTTTGATCACATTATCTTTGTTTAATTAATTAATTACAAACTCATATTAATTACTGGCCTATAAGTAGAACGGTTGGTTTGTACGATTGCTGTGTTGCAGGAAAGACGGGCCAGACTCGCCCACACGCTCGTCTGTCGTGTGAGCGTGTTTATATTACGTAATAAATATATCAAAATATTTTCTGGTTTGTCCGTATTACGATTTCTGAGGTTTTGAGAGATTTGTTGTATTCGAATATAGAGCACAATTCTCATACTTGTACACATAAAATAGTGTATATTCTACCCACACACATTGCACTAAATTACAGATAGATAGTAGAAGAATTCTTACATCTGGCAACGTAGCTATCAGCTCAACATGTTTATACTCCTCGCCAGCGGCTAGCGAGGGGCTTTGCCACCAAGTAGTCGGGTCTCCATCTATCGCCAGGTGTGGTGGATGGCGTCGCGAAGCCGGCCCTTCGAGACCTTCGCACACGTCGCACGCTATGCCACGCCTAAAATAAAAAGAAGGGTTTTTTAAGAAACCGCAAATTTTTTAACAAAAAAAAATTATCAATCTATCAACTAGTCGAGGTGGTTGAAAAATAATATTATATTTATGGCTAACTTTAAAGATGTGAAAAACATCTATATTAAGAAAATTTTCCCGTGACCGCGGCTGCTGCAAAGCGTCCGAAACGTCACGCCGAAGTTAAAAATCGTTTTCAAATAAGTTTAACTAATATATCGCGAGTTAAACCGTTAAAGTGTTTTATTTAAATCTATATTAAGAAGTCCTGTATAGGCCCAATTAATTTAACACAAATGCATTTCCGAATTTCTACTTATACACTTTAATGACATACACAGCAGTTACAACTAATAATAGAAATTTGTCAATGGCACATTTATCAAGATTAGACTAAGATATGGAATTGCATTCAACCTACTTTCCGGGTGTCTCTCGGCAAAACTCTTCCGTGCCGCGCTCACCGCAGGTGGCGTTAGCAGATATTGTAGCGTATGGCGCCACATCTAGCGGGGCGGGCAGAAGCCAGCCCGCTCCGCCTGCGATCGTGACCTCGCTCAGCGTTGTACTGCTGAGACGGTCGAGAAGCGCGCGACCTATTGAAAAGACAAATACACATATTTTAGCTGGACTATCTCAATGGAAATGTTTCAGTAAATAATGTCTTTTGTTAAAAACCTTCATTTCAAAAATGTTGTCATATCCCGCCGTGGAGTACAAATTATAGTTTTCTACGGCCAGGCGTGGAGCACAATATGTTCGTTTCTGTGCTCAATATTGTTTGCAACTAAGTACCTTACGTGTTTTATAGAGTAATTACATTTAACCTTAAAATTACGGTAAGTAATCGTGTTAAATACGAGCGTATGTTAAAAGAGCGAAAATTGAGTCGTAAGAATTTGAATTACACTTCGAGAGGGCGTTCCCGTCTGCCTCCGAGGACCTCCGGCTGAGAACCGTTACCTCGTCTGATTGATATATAATTACGTAATAATCAACTACAAAATACACATCATTTAAACATTTATGACTCTTACTGTGCTTAAAACTGTCTGCAGTTTATGTAAGTAGTACACACAGTAACGACGAAGAAAACGCGAAATATATAAGTTAAAATAATTTGTAAGTAGTTTACGCGAGTGGTAGACATTTATATTAAAACTCTTCTAACGGTTTACAATGCGTAATGTATTAGTTAAACTTATTTACAATTTCTTTCAACTATGGCCCGACGTTTTGTCGTTAAAATAAATTGTAAATAACTCGGTAGCTCAATTGGTAGAGCAACATCACGGAACGCTGACGATGCCGGTTTAAGTCCTGCCCGAGTCGAAATTTTTTTAAATTTATCTTTGATTTTTAAATTGTAAATAAGTTTGCTTATTACACTGCGCGTTGAAAACCTTTAGAAGTGTTTTATTTAAAAAATAAATATTGCTTCTTTGTCTCTATTCAAATAGGTTTTATTGGAGCGAAGCCGCGCGTTTAAGCTGTAATAAAAACAAGGCGGTGCTTTACCACCTCCGTTGTACCTCTCGAACACAAAAGTGCGTAAAACAAATCAGGTTATGCTGTAGGAAGCAGGTGGGCTATAGCTCATAATAGCCGCATCTGGTAGACTTTTGTGTTTTTTCTGTACAAATGAGATTCTTATGAATCCTTTAGGGTTTGGCTGGTTTATTTTTGATGTTTTCATCGTGTACACAAACAAAATATGTAGTATAATATAACTAAACCGAACATTAGCTTTAAAACGTAAGCAATGAAAATGAAGACGAACACAAGATAAAAAGATATGAAAGAACTCCGTCCAGAACTGAGTATTTTTTTTAAATAATAGAGGACAGACGTGGCACGAGGTTCACTCGATGGGAGGTTATATACCCGTATGTCGACATATTTTGGCTTTGGATATTCGGAAATCCACTGACAGACAACTGAAACGCGATTAAGCTTCACGGCTTTTTCACCTGTGGTGGTTCGTGACCCGGACGGAATTTCTATATTCCTACCACCCATTACTCTACCTCTTTATAATATTAGTATAGATAATACTAAGCTATTTATTTCCTTCAAGGAAGTCAAGTAAATTATATTTCTAATATACAGTGTAAACTCCATGTAACGTCACTCTATTTAACGACAAACTCTCTTAAGCGTCGAAATCAATTGGCTTTGGTTGGGTTAGCTGGTTTTTCATACAATGTTTCTTCTCTCCATTTAACGACAACTCTCTATAACGCCATAAAATGCACAGTCCCTTCAGTGTCGCTATATAGAGTTTACACTGTACTTCATCCTAATTGGTATAAGATGGTAACAAGTATTTTCTCGCGCACGTGTCGAAGTAATAATCGCGAAATTATATAATAAGACCAGCTCTCATCGGTTCTGCATCGTAAAGCTTGCGATTTATACATCCTTAATGATGCACTGAGTTCTTCTGGTATGATGGAGAATGTCGTATTAATAGGTCCGAATATGTTTGTTCAAACTTTGGATTTGCTGTAGCTCATACTTTTATAGCACGTTTTACAGTTTAAATATTACATAACTCATTTCTAATATAATTTAACAATAGTAAGTAAAAGTGTTTTATTTAAATTTGTGTGATACTCACCTTAACTATAAATATACATTAACGTTAGCATACAGGTATAAGGAATATTCATATTTAGACGTTTTATTTTATTAGAATAGTTTTTTTTTTTAGAAAAGGGAAAACGTTTTCGGAATAAAAAAACGTATAAAAATTTGTAAGGCTTATAGGTATATTAAACTGATAACAATCTTATGTTAACTTTATTTTAATTTACTATCTGTAAACAACTAAGATGAGTTATTATTATCCGTTATCACACAGTCATCTGAAAAGTAAAACATTTATTGTTAACGGATGTCACGAAAAATGAATATCAACCTTTATTATTTTTTAATAACCACTTAAACAATTGAAGGAAACTACACAATACATAATTCACCCTAACTGTGCGAAGTTAAAAAGGTTCTTAAATTTCGCATTGAACGAGCACGTCGCTTGCGGTTTCGACCACACGCAGAGGCGATTTCACGTGCTAAATCTAATCTATTTTTAAACAAATTAATCATGATTTACATGATTATTCACGATAATTAAAGTGTAGTTTTTTCATGTCAAAAGTGCCCCATGACTGAATCTGTCCTGGTAATCTAAATTAATGTAAAGAATAAACGTGTTTGAATTAAAAAATAATCAAATTGCAGCGAAAAAATAGTATACCTGCATTTTTTTACAGTATAAACGATGGCTCTAGTAGCCATTGTATATAGTTATTAGTGAATAGAGGAAGTGAGCTTTGTAGACATACGAACAGTATTTTAAGTAAGAAAATGTTTATTCGACAGGGACGAATGTGGGGCCCCACGTTAGGGGCCCTCGTTTGATTTCTTCTTCAAAGCTAATTGTCTTCGTTATTCATGTTAATTTCATATTATTTTTTTTATATTGTAATAGTTAACAAGTATTTAAAAACAAAACAGTCTTTTACACTTTCCTCGTCTTTTCGTATTACTCAAGTTTACCTTTAAGCGCAACTTGTATTTCTAAATTAAGACATCAACTATGTAATAATATGTCAACAAAATTACATTCTCTCTATAATTTATAGCTCCAAGTTAATTAAATTATAAGAAAATAAATCAAGATCGTATCGAAGTGAAATATTACGCTAACATTGATATCGTGACAGTCTTGATTAATGTCTACATTTAATATGCACTTACTACTTAATAAATTAAATATGATTAATTTGTAAATTGTTAGCATGCAATTCTATTTGCTCTTAACATGGTTTAATTTACTTATAAAAATATATATAGGATATGTATGTGGATCGAGTACTTACTGTACTCTGTTTTAGATAAAAACAATTTGATCATTAAGAAAAAAAGAAGTATACTATACTAATAAAGGTACCTTTAAACCTGAACCTTTTGTTGTTGAATATGACTAACCTTTGATTAGTTAATTTTAAGTAGATTGTTAATTCTCCTGTCTTTTCGCGCAGGGCCCCACTCTAATCCACATCTGTTTAGTTAGGGGTAGTACTAGTCAATAGTACACTTCAACTATTCATTGTTTGAGAAACATCTGTCAAGTTGCCAGTTAATTACTTCCTACTTACCAAGTCATGATGCAAACAACGATTTTACAACGCTTAATTTTATATTGAGGTTTCTGCACCATATGTACGTACTTATACGTACGTGGATCAGTGGATGTTTTGAATTGTGTTGTAGAGTATAATCTAAAAATATTCAAATGTAAAAGTATAAACATGGATTTTTATGAATTTCATATCATAGGTCTTTCTCTGTTTCTATCAATAAAAGGAGAAATATTGACATGTTATTTAAACTATTAATATTAAATAGATCCTATTAATATTATAAACGTGAAAGTTTGTATGTGTGGATGGATGTTTGTTTCTCTTTCACGCAAAAACTACTGAATGGAATTCAATTATACTTTCCAATTATATAGCTTATACATCAGAAAAACACATAGGCTACAATTTATAAAGATATTGTGTGAGCTGTCCAAAATGTCAAAACGTGTAAAGTAACCAGGAAAATACCTACCTTTCCACGAGCCATTCTGGCATGCGCTACCATAAACGTTAGTTCAATTTTCTTTCACGCCACGCTAATATAAGCTACTCCAAATACTAATCCTGCGTAGACAAAGTCGCGGGCACCAGCTAGTATTAAATAGATAGATAACTATATAAAATAGATATAGTAAAATAGAAAAACAAGCAAACTTTTGTTTCACTTCGCAAGGCCTTTCAGGACTTACCTTTCAGGAATTTACGGAAGCTACATTATAGAATAACAGAGGTGCGACTGAAATATAACGGTAACGATCGGAACTAGAAAACGTTCACCTCGGCCACGTGGGCTAGCTGTCATCGCCTGCACCAGGGATCTAGCGTGTTTATAAACAAACGGCCTACTGGAATTACCACAGTGCATATAACATAATATAAATTCAGTAACTCAACACAAATTTTTGAGAATTTAGGAACCATAATTATTTTGGGTGCGTTTTAAATACGTAGAAATATCTTTATTATTATATTATAGATCTGAAGAAACTCTTCGTTTGTTGGATCGCACTAATCTCAGAAACTGGTTCGAATTGAAAATTGCTTTTTGTGTTAGATAGAACATGTATCGAGGGAGGCTTTAGTCTAAAACACCAGGTTGCGACCCAGGAGTGAAGAAACGGTGGAAAATGTTGAAAAAACGGTGCTGCGAAAACGGTTCCATATACCAAAAAATATGTATGAAATCAAACCCTCCAACAAACCTTATTCTACGCGGACGAAGTCGCTATGACACCTAGTAACTTATAAAGGTAAGCAGGTTGTTTGGAGAGGTACATTTTTGTGTCCAAAATAACTCAACTAAATTGGCGGACGAAGTTGGGGGCATAGCTAGTGCAATATAGAAGCTTGCCAAACCGACAGGAATAGATCCATGCTCGTTTTGCCGCCCTATCATAAGCGTCATACCAAACCAGTCTCCACCTCGTTAGTGCAATACTTCAGATCAATCTGAACGGAATCTAACGTCGACAAAAAGCTGATCGGACATCGGCTCATAAAAAGGCCGGCCGTATTTGGCGGTGGCTAATGAGGCCGATCCCACGGACACTGGCCTTTTTTACTGCCCGCAGTTCATTGTTTGCAGTCGCAAGATGGGAATTTGTAAACAGGAGCTTTTAAACGATTTGTGTAGTAATGGAAGTTCTACAAGTATACTGTATGATTTGTAAAATTGTATAAATACTTTAGCCGTCGTTTCAATTTGTAATTGATCCTACTTATGATATTGATATACCTACTTAGGTATAGTTAGGTATGCGTTAGGTACCTACGTTACATTTATTTGGTTCGATTTGTACATTGCCTTTTGCCTTGCTTTGTGTTGCGCTAGAGTTCTTGGGTTTAGAACCAGAGAAAAACGTTTTAATACTGTCTGTAGTCTGTAGCTAGCGTAGCAATTTTTACTTTGGTGTCAGAGACAACCTCCATCTTTAGTCTCCCCTGACCACGGCTGCTGCAAAGCATCCGGAAACGTCGGGCTATATATCGAGTTAAACTAATATATATCGAGAAAGTTTAACTGATATATATCGAGTTTTAAACCGTTATAGTTAATTTAAACGTGCTGGTCAGGCAGGGCTCAAAAGTTAGATTGTGAACTTGTCTTTAAATTGTCTCCCGGGTTGTGGAGCCGTTTAAGCGTGAAGAAGTGTAAACACACATGCACATTTTATAATCTCAGTATCAATACGACGTAATTGTTGACACGGTTGTCGGATTTATAAGATTAAGAATGCTGAAAGGCAACGAGTTTAAATAATAAAAGGGGACAATATTTTGTAATCATGTGGTTTTATTTATAATCGAAAGTAAGTTATTGAAATAAGATTAATTCCGGAAAAACGTAACTTATTTTAGAAGAAGCCTAAGGATTTAGTCCAAACGAAATGAGTTTTAGATAAAATAAAGTGATAAAAAATTAAAGAAACATTGTCTGTAGTTTACGCGAGTAGTTGGTTAAAAAAATCATTCAACGGGTTAAAAAACGAAATGTTTCGTTAACTTATTTACAATTTATTTTAACTGCGAATATTCTTAGAGCTATTCTCCGAACATAAGTCTCTAAATTCCCGCGAGGGTGCGACAAATTAAAACGCCATTTGAAAACACGAAACCGCCTGTCACAGGTATTGTTGGCGTCGGGGCCGGTGGGCTCAAACGGAGCCGTAAATCGTTAATGAAGTGTCCGACGGATGCGTTACACGGCAGGGAGCTTCGCCATACGATTAGCCAAAGTCTGAAGCTTGCAAGATGTTTTTTAATTAACAAATACAAAAATAAATAAAAGAGTTTTATTTAGAATCAATGAGACAGTTATAAATATATATAAGTTTTGTATTGTGAAATTATTGTACTAACATGTAACTGCTC